TTTCTAATGGCGGAAATCAGGAATAAAAATATGGTAACAAATTGCGTCTTAAAAAATTCAAGTAACTAACCTTCCAACCCTTTGGAATGGTGTAACCTGCATAAGTAAAATCGGTGAGGGCCACTCTGAAAGTACCCTGAAGAGGAGGTGTGAGTCTCATCACTTCGTACAATACATTCCATGAATACTTCATCTTCTGCATATCATCCCAATCCAGCAATTCCCCTGCTTTTTTCGCAGCCGCGACTTCTAGTTGTTCTGTTTCAACCATCAGAAGTTACAAATTATTCCATGAAAATGAAGAGAAGAAAAAAAAATATCAGTTTCTCCAGAAGGGAAAAATGAAGGAATGGATGTTACCTTCCAAGACCTTGTTGTAAATTTCGGGTCTTTCTCCAACATACTTCATGAAGAAAGCCATGCTGGTAGCCACAGTGCTGTACCCTGCAACTAGCAGTCCCATGATTTTGTCAGCAATTTCAGCCTCCGGCATGTGTTTTCCGGACGGATCAGTGGCCACGATCATGTGAGAAAGTATGTCTTGCATAGGTGTTCCGGCGGCCATGGCGGCTTTCTTCTCGTTAATTACAACTCTGAGTTCCTTCCGAACTGCGGCAGCTGCTCTGTTTGCCCTGTAAAAGACCGTCCCCGGGAAATTCACAGTAATAGAATGCATCCCCAAGGAAATATCGTCGAATCGTCTTACAAGCCTCGCGATGCGCTCGGGATTGTCGATGCCCAAGAAAAACCGGCATGCCAGAGTCAAGGTCAGGGTCTTGGCCAGAGGGTAGGCCTTGACCTCATCATTTCCTTCCCAATTTTTCTGCATCTGTTCTTGAGTGATGGAATCCATTTTGCCCAGATACCTCACCAGTGCTTCGGGTTTCAAGAAACCGGGGGAACGAATGACTTTGGATTCTTCATCACGAGTTAGCTGAGCAGGAGCTGCCGCCTGGTAGGACCGGAACATCTTCTGCATCGAGTGTGGACGGAATGCAGTGAAGAGCTTATGTTCGTTGGAGAAGAGGAATTTGTGTCCGCTGGGGCCACAGATGACGGCAGTTTCCTCTCCCAGAATCTTGGTTTTGAAAATATCTGGGGAATATTTTCTCATCCTGTCAAAAACAAAGTTTTCTGGTTTCCCAAACAGAAATTCCAGAGTCTCGCCCATGATTGGCCATCCCAAGCTCCCCGGCGGTAGATTTTTGGGGCCGGTGGATCTTCGCCAGAGGGCAAAAAAGCATACTGAGAGGGTGAAAACAAGAGAAACAAGTAGAAGAGAGATCTCCATGGATATGGACGACGAAGCTAAAGACTCTGGGTTGATGCGCATGGAGGAACTGGTGGGGTTTATTTATATAGGACTGGAATGGCGACCGGAATCGTGAGAATGCATAAAGTCGTTATAGTTTTGTTTGTTTATTTATTTTTATTTATTTATTTAAAGACTTTAATTTTCCTGTGACCTCGGTTATATGATTATGATTTTAAATTTTTAGTTTTAATTTTTAAAATTTTAAAAATTTTAGAATAAAATTAAGAAATTTTATAAATTAATTAATTTTAGATTTTAGATATTTATTTTAAAATTTTATACTCAATAAATTGATATTTTAAATTTTATTTTTTAATTGTTAATTTTGATTTTTTAAAATTTTAAAAACTAAAACTAAAAATTATAACCATACTAAATACAGTTTTAGATACTAGTTACAAGATTTAAACACTAAATTTAACTTATAAAAGTATTATTAGTATCTATTAAAGAGAATGGAGAAAGTAAGACTAAGTTTAGTATGGTTTTCGTTTTGGATTTCAAGTTTTCATTTTTTTTTTATATATATTTAGTAATTATTATTATATTTAAAAATTAAAATTTATTTAATCTAAGTATAATATTTAGCTATTGAATAGG